GGGGGGTGGGCTAGAGAATCAGTTATATTTTTTCCACAGAAAGACTTTTTAAATATATTTTTGATGTATCATATTTTCAAGAAGCCAAGGTGATATAATAATATAACTTTATGCCACTTTAATTATTTGAAAAATAAATTATTTCAATAATAAAACTTCTTTTTGCATTTTCTCATTTGTGTCAATTTTACGAGGGTCAGGTTATTGGAAGCAGTGTATCTCAGAAACAACCTATCAGATTATAAAGAAATTTGCACCACATGTTCCTAACATGTTTATCTACAATGTGATAGAGGGTTTTTATTCTATTTTAAGAGACAAAAAAATTATTTTGAATTTTGATAGAACAGTTTACGTAAATGATGGATTATTTTTTGACATAATTTTAAAAAATTCACAAAAAAAATATTTTTTCAGTTATGCTAATTTCCTTCTATCACATTGTGCAATGTCCTATTTTTAATATTTATGCCAAGTTTCATTGAATTCTTATTGGTGGTTATTGAGCTACGCTGTTTCCTGTAAGTATATAAAATTGCTCAATTTTACCCCTATTTTCTCATCAAAAGCATAAAAAAAAATAATTAATTAGTCCCAATTGGTTTTTTTAAGTGTTTTTATTGCTTTTGCAATGTGATTAGCAAAAAATATTCTGTCTTAGTCATGTGTTTAAAATTTTAGCATTTTGACTACCTGTCCCCCCTTAAAGAGTCATTTCAGGCAATACAACGATAATACCACCCCTCCCCACCCAACCCCCCTTTTCCCCCCTTTCCAATTCCAATCCAAGTTCGCCAATTATAAATTAAAATTTATTTAAAATTAAACAACCCTTAAAAAAAAAACAAAGTTTTTCGGATAATAGAATCCATTATAAAATGTAATATCAAGCAATGAGAGATGGGGCTGAATATTTGACAAAACATGCATACAAGTTATTCAAGTAACGCAATTTATAAGATAAGATAGTTAAGATAAGATTCTTTTATTGATCCAAGCAAATGGAAATCTTTTTTTGGTTGCATTGTACATTTTAAGCACATAAATTTAAAAAAAATTAACACAAGACATCTACATTAAATTATTTCACTAGTGAAAAAAAAAAAAAACAGCCGTTCAGCGAATTCTCTTAATATCAGGGACTTATTAATTATTATTTCTCATTAAGATTTGTGACTTCAGGGGGAGCACGCTGGTAAATTAGGGGTTTCACGCCATTGAACTATATTAATATTATAATGACCCACCCGCTTTTACACCGCAGATTTATTTAGTTCACCAAATATTTCAGAAAAACAAAGGAAAATATGACGCACCAAACGCACTTGCAATATTTAAAAATAAAAAACAAAAAAAATCTCATTCAGCGCAGTTATCGGGAATTCTCATTCACGTTCCATTGAAAAACAGAAGAAAAAAAAACGATTTTTGGGGGGTTGTGTTGGGGGTGGGGGTGCTGCTGAAAAAAATGATAGAATGTGTTCTCATCAGTAATGAGTCTATAGGCTGAGGGGCTGCATTTTCGACCAGTAATTATTTCAGAAATTTTCACACACCCGGGGGGGGAGGGGGACACTTCAGATTTTTCAGGGGGGGGGGGTGGGGCCAGCAGTGCCAGCTGATTTAGTGTTGGGCATATTTTTGCTCGGGGAGGGGGCGGCGTGGACTACCCTCTCTCCCCCCCCCCTAGATATAGCTGAAAGAAAACCTGTTTTCGGCCATCTGGAGAGGTTATTTTCATGGAAGGGTTGCGGATGCGTCAAGAAGCTTGACCCACCCGGGCGGCACTAACCCTGACTTTGCCCGGGGAGGGGGGGGGTCCACTAGCCCTATCTACGCCACTACTCCACTGGCCACTGAGAAAGAATTTGATTTTTAAATATGCTTACGATTACCAGTAAAAGTTAGGCTATGGAGTTTAGAGGTTAAATACGTATTTTTATTGTACAAGTAATTAAAAAGAAAACTTAAACAAGTATAAGGACTTAGACATTGTCAGAGATGTTCATGCTATAAAAGGTTAACTGAATGATTAGAAGAATGTCAAGAGTATCTTCCCTTTATCAGATAGAGTGGGAGGTGGCTTCACTAGATGTCTCTTACTCGCAAAATGGCACCGACCAGGATAAAAAGCCCGGAAAGAAAACACAGACAGATATCTCAACACTAACTTTAAAATCAATTGATTTGCTCATAGAAATATTTGTTTTTGCATCGAAAATGAGCATCAAAGCTTTTGAACTGGTTTCCGCAATTGAGCGGGTGAAGCTTATGTCTGATAAAGCCAAGACACAGGTTTGTTTTGGGCTAGGATGAGCTCTCTCGTCTTAAACTTAAACTCTAACTTTGTTTGCTGTTAACTATCAACTACTTAGAGTGAACTTAGACTACTTTACTAGTACTAGGCCTGGGACTAGTGTCTAAACTCAAACTGATTCCACTATCCCCAATCTCTCTTATTTTGTTTTTAGTCAAATTTGGGAGATTTTAAGTTTTACAAATTTCAAATACTAACCGACTGCTTACAATTTATTACAATTCTTACATGTAGATCTAAGTATTTTCTAATTCTAAGTGTGTTGAACGTCCACTCTATTCAGAACGTCTGAAAACTTGTTGCTCAAACTCAAGCAGCACTGTTAGTTTGAGTTAGTTAAATAATTAAATAATCTAGCTTAGCCCTCTAAGGTTCCTGAACCAAGTGCCTAAATGTCCATCTTGTGACTCTTATCTCTTTCTTTTGTCTACAAACTCTGACTATGAACATCTTAGGCAACAAAGATGGTTGCCATGTAAAAAAATAACGTAGAGTGAACACACGTCTGCGAAAAGGGGGAGGAGAAAGTGAGAATGTGGTGTTTAAGCTGCATACCGAGAGAAACGACATGGCAACAAAGATGGTTGCCATGTAAAAAAAATAAAGTAAAGCAAACACATGTCTGCTAAAATGGAAAGGGGAAAGTGAGAATGTGCTGTTTTAGCTGCATACCGAGAGAAACGAGATTAGGATAAAAAAATGTAAATTTAATGGTCGTCCGCATTAATTTTGTGGAAAACATAGCAACGTAATTGTATCCCTCTATACATGCAGCAAGAAGTATAAATAACCTGCGGTTGCTCCCTTCCCACAACTAAAACGTGTGACGTGTGCTACAGTTACACATTGTAGTGAGAAAAGTGTAATAATAAAGAAAAAATTGCAAAATATTTTTTAAATAATGAAAACCCAACTTACACTTGCCTAGAGTCAGTACACATTTACATTCATCCTCTTGTAACATTAATTATATTTGGCAATTTTGAAAAGTTTAATCCTGCACTATTTAAACACAAAGAAAAAAAATTGTTTTATTTTTCTAATTAAGTTAGGTCCATTTTAATTTTACTCTTGTTATATTAACAACTCAGTTTAGCCAAGAGTATGATTTTGATGACATGTAAATGTAATGATACATTTGTTCTCACAGATAATGCATAGTTTTGTTATGTAAACTGAAAGCTAAATCAATAAATACTTATTTCAGAAAATAGTCAGGTTAATTTTATAACAATATATTATATGCTATATTGTTTACCCAAGAGTATAATTTTGTTTAATAAAATACAGTCCTTAGTCATGTGGTCAAAACCATATTATGGCTTATATTAGTCAAATTGGTTGTTATGTAACTTTTTAATAAAAGATTAATATGGAAAAAGCTACAAGAAACAATTATTGGAAATTCTGAAATTTAAAAAGGCATTAACAATTAAAAACATCTTTCCTATATGTTTTAAATGCTGTTTATTTTCAGATTGAATGTCTTGACGTATGTGGTAAAAATATGTACATAGGAACAAGTGATTGGTTTGTAAAATAGAGATTTATTACTTTTCTTGAATAACATGCTTTAAGATTATTTCAATTATTTCACCTTTATAATGATTTAAAGATAAATTCTGTGCTGCTGGTTGCTGTCCATGGCTTGACATGTAAAGGTTCTGGGGTGGGTGGGGTGAATATTATTATTATTATTAGTTATAAAGCGCTGTACCCAGGCTGGGCTCACCGTGCTGTACATAAAAATTTTAGCTAAACATAATCGTGACTTAAAAAAGTAACATACATTTATTTAATAAAAAACAGCTGTGTAACAACAAAACAAAAATAAATTTATATTCACCCCATATATATTTGTTTTTTGTTGTTGTTATATAGCTGTTTTTTAATTAGATAAATGTATGTTATCTTTTAATGTCATGATTATGTTTGCTTATATTTTTATGTACAGCGTGGTGAGCCTGCCCAGGGCTGGGGTACTGCGCTATATAAGACTTCTAATAATAATAATAACAATAAAGATAAATTCATATGTAAATTTAAGTAAACAATTTTATATTTTTTAAATCAGTCTTTTAATTCATAGTGTGTATTTTTGTTGTTGTATTCAACAGCTTTGTAGTACACTATAGCATTGAGGAAAAGGTACAGCCTAATGGACGAGTTACATTCGTTACAGAAAAACAAGGGCACAAATTTTTAGTTGTGGTAGGTAGAAGTTATTTTCATTCATTAGGAATATTGGACTGTGCTTTAAAAGCTCTTAGCAGATGGTATTCAAAAATAACAAGGAATTCATGGGGGTATTAAAAAAAACATGTTAAAGAATTTATTTAATTTGGCTGTAACAAAATCAAATAATCCCTCTTGAAGTCCATATTCTCACTGAAGGAGTGAAGTTCTATTGTGCATGATGACTGATTTTTGTGCTTGAGAAATACTTTACATGTCTTGGGTTTAAATTATTCAGTTGAAAAATGTTGCCTTGGCAGAATATTTATCCATGTGCTGAAAATGAATATATAACATTTCATTAAAACACATTTAAGTTTTTTTTAATCAATACAGAATCTTATCCTATATTTTTTGTGTGCACTCTTTTTAAAATAAAAGTAAAAAAATAATGTAATGTCGGCTTAAAATGATACATAGGTTCCATTAAAGCTTAGCTCAACTTCAATTAAATTTATGCTGTTTTTAATTTTTTTTTTCAAGAAAAAGCCAATAGCTCAACTAAGGGCAGCCTCGGCACTGAATCGTATTATGGTTTTGTGCGACAACACTCTGACTCTGCTCAACATGTTTGACCTGGAAGTAAGTATGGAATCAACAGGCTTGGAAATATAGTGAAATTAAGTCATTAGACTTAGATTAGGGCTGCACTGAGATAAACGGGTTTGGAAATGTAGTGAAATTAAGTCATTAGATTAAGGCTGAAATTAGATAAACATGGAAATATAATGAAATTAAGTCGTTAGACTTAGATTTGGACTGCACTGAGATAAACGGTCAAGAAATGTAGTGAAATAAAGTCATTAGATTAGGGTTGAAATGAGATGAACATGTTTGGAAATATAGTGAATTAGATTAGGGCTCAACTGATAAAGCTGAAGTAGATTATAAGATTATCAGTATAAACAAGTGGGTTGACCTTCTTTAATGAAGACGAAATGTAATGAGGAATTTTGTCTAAAACTTGTTTTAAGTGTACTGCAGTCTTATTGAGCGTTTGTTTCTTCCTCAGCCCATAGTAACGGGGGCAAAAATCAAAGGTGTTGTTTGTTTCTGTATCAATGAAAATCCCATACGAACAAACCCATTCAGTGTAGAGGTAAGCTTTTTGTACAGTGTGTAAGTTGTCAACTAGCAGAACTAAAAATATGCACAATAACCAAGCTTAGTCACTATATATAAATAATTTTTTTCTAAAATTTATAATTTATATCTTTATTTTAAATGATAAATTCCATTTTCGAAAAAATAAAATGTATTTAAAAAAACTAAGAAGCTTGCATCAAAATGTGTCTTTATTTATCACAACAAAGAAAAATAACTTCTTCAAGTGTACAAGCTCGTTGAAAACATCTTAAGGAAATAATATAAAATCTGATAGTGAGGTGAAAATTTTAAGCCATTTTCAGCCAAATTTAGAGTTGAAAAGAAATGCATCTAGGTTATCTTATAATGCATATCTAGAAATGTAACTAGGTCATCTCATAACATGTGTAGAAAGGCAACTAAATATGTTACATTAAGAAATGGCGTCAGCGGGGCGAGTCTAAGACTCTTTATGCCCCCCCCCCCAAATTACCCCTCCCCGATCCGACGTATTGGGTCGCGGCGCGGCACGTTGGAGATGCCCACACGTCAGGACGGCCCCCACACGGGCCCCTCACCCAAATCCCAGTGAGAGGCAACTAAATTATCTTATAATGCATGTCTAGAAATGTATCTCCAGTTATTTGATCATATAGATCTGTGTGGCCCTAAAGAAGAAAATCATACAGCTGTACACTGTGACGGAGGACAGATTGATACACCTGAGAGACGTCTCTGTACCTGAGCAAGCTTTGACACTTGTGAGTAAACCCAAGATAAACTATTATAAACTATATTCTACAGTACTGTGACAGAAGACAGAGTAATGCACCTGGTAGATGTCTCTGTACCTGAGCAAGCTTTAACACTCAAGCTTGATCCTCAGATAAATTATTGAAAACAATAGGAACCAAGTGAAAGCTGTATTATGAATTTTTATTATTTAAAAAGAAACAATAGCTGAAAAGATCTTCCCTGTTAACAAAATAAACCAGAATAATTACTGAAATAAGTGTTTTTTTAATTAGCTTTCAGTTCATTTAACAAGTCTGCTGTGTCTGGGACAACAAATGTATCATTGCCTAATCTATCTGGGACAACAAATGTATCATTGCCTGATCTATCTGGGACAACACATGTATCATTGCATAATCTATCTGGGACAACAAATGTATCATTGCCTGATCTCTCTGGGACAACAAATGTATCATTGCCTGATCTGTCTGGGACAACAAATGTATCATTGCCTGATCTGAAGCACTCCCGTTATTTCTTAGAACTTAAAACCAAACTTTAGAAACTTTCTGTTCAAGGATGCTATAAAAAACTTTCTATTCAAGGATCCTATAAGAAACTGAACTTTCAGAAAATACAATATGACACATACACTGTATCATCTAATGCAGCAGTTCTCAACCTGTGGGTCGCTCGACCCTTTCCCAGGAGTTGCCTAAGACCAGCGGAAAATACATATACTCTACAGTTATGAAATGGTATCGAAAATAATTTTGTGGTTGGGGGGTCGCCAAAACACGAGGAACTATAAGTAAGGGTCGTGGCATTAGGAAGGTTGAGAACCACTGATCTAACGGGTATAGATTATTGTATCATTCATGCAGTATGTTGTACCGTATCAGTTGACATATGCAGTGCAATGGTCACCTCCAGGTCACAGTGATAATTTTGATCCTGGAAAGTGTCACCTGGTGATATCATTTGAAATGACCTGACGCTTCTGAACATCTCTTGCCCTCAGGGTGTCGACGGAGTCTGCGTGTGTGCTGCCCTGACCTCTGGGTATTGCATGATTGACATGGACAGCGGACACATAACTGACCTCTTCCCCATTGACTCGGAACAAACTCACCCGGTCATCAAACGGATCAGCAAAGTACGTTTACAGTGTCAGAATGTTTATTGTTTGATTTTTTAATTTTTTAAAAAAAATTGAATTTTGAAGTAATAAAAACTCGGCATTTAATTATGTAAACTTTATTCCAGGAAGAATTTTTACTAAGTGGCCCAAGCGCCCTGGGGATATTTGCTACCACCGCCGGTGTCTCCCAGCGTCCACCTATGCAATGGTCAGATGGCTTGTCTGCAGTTTGTTTTGTCCACCCGTACATCCTTGCTATGAATGATGAGTTCATCACAGTGCACAGGTGGGGTTTATCTTTTTAATAAGTTCAACTCAAGCCAAAACATTCATTGCTTAGTATTATCATGTGTTGTCTTAATTTTGCTGGGGGTTTATTATGCTGGCAGGTTCTCGAGACAAAACTGTTGTGCAAAAAAAAGAAAGAAAGAAATTTGCCCAGGGGTCTTGACCTGATAGCATTTTCACCTCTTAAATGACATTGTGATTTAAAGATTATATGACATGGTGATTCATAGATTGTATTACACGATTTAAAGATTTTATGACATGTAATTTAAATATATGATGTGATTTAAAGATTATATGACATGTAATTTAAATACATGATGTGATTTAAAGATTATATGACCTGGTGATTTAAAGATTAAATGACATGATTTAATTATAAGATGATATGACATGATGATTTATAGATGATATGACATGGTGATTTATAGATGATATGACATGGTGATTTAAAGATTATATGACATGGTGATTTATAGAGTTCTAACGTATCACTCAGCCTAGCTCATTGTGGTCAGTCTAGCCGTTATGTCAACAATCTTGGCCAACATTTCATGTACCAGCGTTTCAGGTCAGTCCTCTCATTTCAGCATCCTGGACCAGCAGCAGAAGCAGGCCATCCCTTTCCAAGGCGGTGTTTTCCTTGGTGACTTTGACGGCAGAATCTTTGTGGCCTCCAGCCGGGAGATTTATTCACTAGTCCCGATTCCTTTTGAAAAACAGGTCAGCCGTTGGTTTACTGATGGCATATTTATACATACATCATTTATATACATATTTTTTTATAATTCAACTCCTATTTGATTTGAGTGTGGAGGCACGTCCCCAGTTTCCTCTACCTCGCATGGGTGTGAAAGTGCTGGGTCTCCAGACTCATATCCTCAATAGCCGCTACATGCCTCATATTATCCATTGTCTCTCTGTACAGTATGTAACACCAACAATATTCAGGCTGATGCATAAAGCTTGGAGTGTAGTTTGAAAGAGGCTGGGAGTTTGAGCCCATTTGTTAATGTGTATCTTCTATTTCCTTCTTCTTCTTTCTTATATTTGAGGGGCCCACGATCAATTTGTTGATCATTCTGGCTCCTGGTTTTAATTCAGAGTTTGCCTTCTCTTAGATGGGTTGCCGTCCAAGGCTAACGAGTCCCATCCACCCGGGGTGCTTGGGATGGCTTTGATGGGGATTGAACTCCAGACCAACGGCTATTTGGTTTGAGACAGTTTAGACCGCTCGGCCACCCAGCACCCTATTTGCTATAACTCAAATCTGATCTTTTATTCTCTTAAGTGAATACATGTGAAGATATATATATATATATATCAACTTTTCTTAAATGTCTGTATATGACATCACATGTGTGTGCTTCAAATTTTTTCTGAACTTTAGATTCAAGCCTTGCTGGCAGACAAGCGTGTGGGTGAGGCCCTAGACCTGGCAAGAAATGCCAATAAAACTGGCATGACCAGAGACAAGTTTCTCAAAGTAAGGAGTTGTTATTATTTAATGAATACTTTCACCATTTCTATGTTAAAATAAAAAGAGATTTGTTGTTACATTATTGTATTACTGCTTAGTTCTTTGGGAGTAACAAATGGTGTTCATTTTTTTCAAATGAAATATAAGATGTTGTCAACAACGTTATATGATTATTCCAGATGTTTAAAAGAATTCAGCAGCAGGCCGGTTTTATAGAGTTTTCTCGTCAACAATTTGAAGAAGCAAGTCAGCTGTTTAAAGAGAGTGCAATGGATGTCAGAGAGGTAATGGCAGATGTTGTTATAATAGATGTCAGAGAGGTAATGGCAGCTGTTATAATAGATGTCAGAGAGGTAATGGCAGATGTTGTAATAGATGTCAGAGAGGTAATGGTAGATGTTGTTATAATAGATGTCAGAGAGGTAATGGCAGATGTTGTAATAGATGTCAGAGAGGTAATGGTAGATGTTGTTAAAATGGGTTGTAAGAGACCTGTACCCCCACAACCTGCCCAACCATTGACTTATATAACACACCTGTCCCACCATTTCCACAGATAATCTGCCTGTACCCCCACAACCTGCCCAACCATTGACTTATATAACACACCTGTCCCACCATTTCCACAGATAATCTGCCTGTACCCGCACTAACTGCCCAACCATTGACTTATATAACACACCTGTCCCACCATTTCCACAGGTAATCTGCCTGTACCCCCACTATCTACCCACCAATGTGAACTTCACCAGGTCAGTGCCTCCACTCCATGAAATAGCAGACATTAATCAGCTCTCCAAGTCAGATGAAAGCATCAAAGCAGCCTACAAGGAATTTCTAAGGACTTTCCTGGAAGACATCAGAGGGACAAATTTAGCTCATGGATACAAAAGGGTATTCCCTATTTCTTGTTTCAATCTTTACAAAGCCCCGCACCTGGCATACATTAAGTACTGTTGACTTTTATCAATGCCCATTGATTGTAAGGGATTTGACCAGCTGTGTTTGGAATAAGCTGCCAACACCATTACCACCAGCCCTCCCCCAAAGCCTGTCAGTCTAATCTAATAAGGCTGTTGAAATGACATCCACAGACCTGGTCACTACCACCAGCCCTCCCCCAAAGCCTGTCAGTCTAATCTAATAAGGCTGTTGAAATGACATCCACAGACCTGGTCACTACCACCAGCCCTCCCCCAAAGTCTGTCAGTCTAATCTAATAAGGCTGTTGAAATGACATCCACAGATCTGGTCACTACCACCATCCCTCCCCCAAAGTCTGTCAGTCTAATCTAATAAGGCTGTTGATATGTACAATTTTGAGATGACTTTTAAAATCGCCAAGACCTGTCAGAATTACGCTTTTAAGAGATCAGGTTTTAAAAAAAAAACTATATTCCTGTGGTTTCTCTGATTAAAAGAAAATTGTTAATACATTTTCGGTTGTTAGATTTACTCCTTTCTATAGCCCGCGTTGAATTGAACGAGAAATACAATTGTTTGGGGATTATCCATGATTATATTTCGTACGCACAGAAATGGGTAGGGAGAGGTGGTGCTGATTTAGGAGTGTGCTGTTGTATATGGTAAATAGGGGGGGGGGGAATTATTTTAAAAGGCTATAAAATAAGAGCCTCGTTTGGCAAAGACGGGATAAAATAAGAGCCTCGTTTGGCAAAGACGGGATAAAATAAGAGCCTCGTTTGGCAAAGACGGGATAAAATAAGAGCCTCGTTTGGCAAAGACGGGATAAAATAAGAGCCTCGTTTGGCAAAGACGGGATAAAATAAGAGCCTCGTTTGGCAAAGACGGGATAAAATAAGAGCCTCGTTTGGCAAAGACGGGATAAAATAAGAGCCTCGTTTGGCAAAGATGATACTGGGCTATCAGTTTCTAGTTTTTTTTCTGATGGATTATTTTTCCTTTCCATGCCCAGGAAGTAGATGTAGCGCTGTTAAAGCTGTATGCAGAGTCCACCCCCGAGAAACTCACGGAGCTGATCTCTGTGGATACTGGCTGTGACCTGGAAGACTGTGTCGAGTGGTTGGAGAAACATCAGCGACTGCATGCGCTGGGGCTGCTGTACCAGCGGCATGGGGAGAGTGACAAGGCGCTCGGGGTGTGGGCAAGGTGTGTAAAAGTGTTAAGTAGTTCAGGCCTGGTTCAGCGGCAGGGGTAGGAAGAGCATTATTTTCTCAGTGACTCACACTAATAAATGTTACTTTGATTCTAACCCAGAGTTGCCAAATAACAATACCAAGTCAAGTACTCTAAAATTGTATCCAACAAAAAGTGTCTGCCCTAATTTTGTTATTTGTCAGTGGAGACCAGTGTGTTCATAGCTGTATCTTCTTTATTTGCAGACTCGTAGACAGCAAAACGAATGACCCCAGTTTTCCTGGCTTGGAATTCGTTGTCACATTTCTATCCAGGTTAGACACCTCATAACTCTAGCCAAAATGATAGAGATAATATTAATTGCATCACTGTCATAAACTTCAGACATAAACTTCGTGACATCGCCAGCGAAAGTCTCACATATACTTGGTGACTTAACCAGCGAAAGTCTTACATATACTTAGTGACATCACCAGCAAAAGTCTCACGCATACTTAATGACATCACCAGCGAAAGTCTCACACAAACTTTGTGACATCATCAGCCAAAGTCTCACACATATTTAGTGACATCACCAGCGGAAATCTTCAGAACAAAAATTAGTTACATCCTTAGCTTTATCAAGTTAATTTTTTTTTTTTTTTTTCCCCCAAATTTGTAAACATATTTTTTGGCTGGAACAAAGGTGCTCAAACCTAAAAATTAGTTAAACCCTTAGCTTTATCAAGTTAATTTTTTTTTTTTTTTTTTTCGCCCAAATTTGTGAACATATTATTTGGCTGGAACAAAGGTGCTCAAACCGTTTTTGTGGGTGCAGCCCATCTGGAGAATTATATTATGGCCCATATGACCATGGCAACAAAAACAATAATAAAGATCTCACACTACAGCATAAACTCTCTGATACATAGTAATCAATATTGTTGATTGAAAGTAGTTTGAATAATGAACACATATAGTATTTAAGCTGTATGTGTGATGAGCATGTTGAAAGTCAATCAACTTTTATTGTTTTTTTTCGACCGCAGCCTGGCTGATCATGAGCTGTTATGGAAATATGTCGACTGGGTGCTGGAAAAAGATGAAGAGCTCGGTGTTCGAGTAAGCAGTTAGTAACTAATATGTTGTCATGTTACTTTACGTTTTAGATAGTTAATAATAAATTCTCTGTGTGTGCATGTATGGCTGTAATGCTGTGTGCAATAGGTATGCAAAATAAAATCCCCAGCAGCTTGCACCGCAAAGTCAGTTACTTGAATGCATGTTTTTCCCCAATTAACTAGAGTAGATGGAAAGTTTGCGGAGTGCCACCGCCTGTGTTTGGCGGGTAGTTTCTAGTTAGGAAATAAAGAACAGAGAATTTTTTTCATGCTGTTATTGTATGTTCAATACAGACAAACTATTGATTTATCATTACAGACAAACTATTGATTTATCAATACAGATAAACTATTGATTTATCAATACAGACAAACTATTGATTTATCAATACAGACAAACTTTTGATTTATCATTACAGACAAACTATTGATTTATCAATACAGACAAACTATTGATTTATCAATACAGACAAACTATTGATTTATCAATACAGACAAACTATTGATTTATCACTACAGATAAACTATTGATTTATCAATGCAGACAAACTATTGATTTATCAATACAGACAAACTATTGATTTATCACTACAGATAAACTATTGATTTATAAATGCAGACAAACTATTGATTTATCAATACAAACTATTGATTTATCAGTACAGACAAACTATTAATCATAAATGGAAATGATAGAATCTAATTTTTTAAAAGGCAGCCTGTCGTAATTTAACATTTACAGCTGAATTTTGAGTGTGACAAAAAAGGCGTGTAAAAAAAACCAACCATTGTGTAAAAAGCAACCATCATGTAAAAACCAACCAACATGTCCTTTTAGAATTCATTGATCTACCCTGCAGGTATTCACCGACCGACCAGCCAATGAGGCCCAGTCAGAAAGGCTGCGACCAGAGACAGTGGTGGACTACCTGCACAGGTTTCCCAGAGCTGTTATAACCTACCTGGAGTACCTTATATTTCAGAGAAAATTAGAGGTAAGCCCAAGTTGTGTTGGGTTTGATCGCAGGAAATGTGACCAGTGAAATGATTTGAATGGCATGTCAACACAAGGTCATCTCCTGTAATACTCATGTGGACCAGAATGTATTTTGCTGAAGGCATGACATGGATAATTCATAACATGGATGGTATTTTAAAGATGACCCCATATTATGATATAAAATGAATTCGTTGAGTTGGTGATAACAGCTGGTACAGCACAAATTTTTAAAGTTTGACATTTAGGTAACCTATGAGTGGTACCAGTGTGACATTTGGATGACCTATGAGATTTGCCAGTCTAACATTTACCTGACCGATAAGGGTTACCGGTTTGTGCCATAATCAGTCCCCTTCCATTATTTACTTTGTTCTTTTGACAGAAAGAAAAATACCACACCCACTTGGCCGTTCTTTACTTGGAGGCTGTGCTCAAGTTAATGGAAACCAACAACGTTAAAAAGGAAGAATTAGATATTGCCAGGTAGGCATAAATTTGGATTTGTGTTTTAGCCTCAAATACTACTGTTGGTGCTAATATCTTGTTCTCATCAGTTAGTCTGTGCAGTGTTTCAATTCTCAAGTAAAATCATTTCATATGATCCTGTGTGATTTTTACTATTTTTTTTGCACAAATTTTCTTCATATAATATTGTAAAAAAGTATTATATGCATTCCAATACCGTCAACCGTACATGCTCATCTATCAGTGGATCTCTTCTGTAAGTCAAGGGCGGTTTCTTTTAACCAAAATCATGAAAAATGCTGTGACTCTGCAAATAAGCTTTGTGGAAGTTGTTTTTAATTTGATCTATTCTTTAAGACATGAGCTGTATAAAATTTAATCGTTCAAATGTATCGTTCAGGTCCAAGCTTCGCCACATGCTTCAGATCTCCAACTTGTACAGGGTCCAGCTCATCCTGGGGAAGGCCAAGGAGAAGGACATGCATGCGGAATGTGCAATTCTTTATGGCAAGGTCATTGTTGTTTAAGTTTACTCGGTCTGACCACTCTGTCAGGTCATTGTTTATATTTCCTCTAGCTCTGAACGTGAGAACTCTAAGTTTCGTCTCGCACATAAGCTAAGCTGTCAAGAATCATAAGATAATTATTTTTTTTTTAGGCAATGGTTACAATTGACAATCTAATTGGACATTTTAAAAAATAATCAACCCATTAGAAATTAAAAATTTAAGACATCCTGATTGTTTATGCTTAGATGTTGGACTAGGACTTGAATTGTGTTTGTAGATTTCAATGTTCATCACCCTCTCTTGTGTTAAACTTGCTTGTTTTTTATCCAGCTGGAAGAGCACGAGAAAGCCCTGCGCATCCTGGTCCACAAACTAAAAGACTACGGAGGAGCCGAGAACTACTGCCAGGTCAACTCGCAAGGCAAGGAGCCCGGCTACAGGAAGCGGTTGTTTCACATACTCCTCAGTGTTTACCTGGATTCTTCTTACGAGTAAGTTTCATCACCCTTTTCCAGGGGGGTGTGCCCATGTTTAACTGAATCCTACCCATGTGTAAGTTTCATCACCCTTTTCCAGGGGGGTGTGCCCATGTTTAACTGAATCCTACCCATGTGTAAGTTTCATCCATTGCCAGATGGTATTACTCAGGGTCATCACTGTCAAACATTCTGTGGTCTGCCACTGTCTTTATCATCACTGTCAAACATTCTGTGGTCTACCACTGTCTTAATCATCACTGTCAAAGTATTCTGTGGTCTCCCACTGTCTTTCTCTCTATGAACATTCCTATTTATAATGTTTTTCAATCTATCATTCCTGGCCACCAAGGACTACACAAATTAGTACACAAACACTCCAACCAAAAGTTATACTGTTGATATTCTCACAAACACTCACGATAACGGATTCTCACCTCATCAGCCATCCCCTATCCAGTTTGACCATTCACTTTTGACCTTTTGAAACATTTGTTGTTTTGTTTTTAAAGAATACATTAATTATCCAATTGAATGTTCATATAGAAGTGTAAAACCAAGGAATTCATGGTTTTCAATTTATACATTGTTGGCAATCTGTTAAATTGAGACACTAATAAAACAATGTAAAATATAATCCTATTAGTTTAGTGAAATTTCCACTGAACGTGTTAAGGACATGTTTGTTCAAAGTAGACACCTATTTTAAAATTGATATTTTATTTAAATTAGCCTGTTGGATTTGACTGCTACCCGTACATCAAGTGTTTTAAGTTGTGACCCTCTTTATCTATAGGAGGAGAGACACCTTGGTTGCTCCTGCCATGGCTTTGCTCAACAGTTCAGTAGCTGACTTTGATACAATCAAGGTCGGTATTGGTGTCAATGACATTATTTTGAAGGAATAAAGTAAAAATGTAATCATTTGCAGCCAATTCAGTTGTGTTTACAAATGTAAGAGATATAAACATCTCAATAAAAATAAAATAATTTAAAGTACAAACTGGCAAGAAACAAAACTTAACTAGAAAATTATATAAGAAAAATACTGAGATGGTGGCAGCCTAAACAAATAGCATGTTAAGAAAACCTGTAGTGAAAAAAAATCAGGTCAGGTTTCTTGTAAACCAATGGGTATCTTTTTTATTTACGGAAAAAGGAGAAGAAAAAAAATAAATCCCATCTCATTAATATCTTTGGGTATTTTGGTGGATTAAAAAACATTTTAACTGTCAAAAAGATTATGTAACATTTTATTTGTCCACTGTATATTGATTTTGTTTGTTTCCTAATGTATCCACCCAGGTTCTCCAACTCCTGCCAGAGAGCTGGTCGGTCGGTCTACTGTCCCAGTTCCTGACGCGGGCCATTAGGATGAGCATGCACAACTGCAGAATGACACGGCTCCAGCGCATGATGGCCAGGGGAGAGAACTTGTTGATCAAACAAACCTTCATTGAGATGCAAAGGGATGCAATCATAATGAATGACGAAAGGTTAAATTTAAAATTTTTACAAAAAAATCTTGTATGAAATTTGTGGAAATCAGAAAACTATAATTCCTCTAAATAAAATTCGCAGCTGTGAATGTGAGTTGGACTTAAAGGGCAGTACTGCAGTTATTGTAAGGGAAATGTTGACGAGGAGAAATAACGATCAGAGCCTTGAAATGCCAGTTCCCAGAATGCACTTTGCAGAGCACATCTTCTTCTGCCACAGAAGAGTTCAGCTGTGGCCCCCTATAAACTAAAGATACTTAGGAGGAAAGCCTTGGCTGGGACCTAGCTAAAGGACTTACAATGTTCCAAAAGGCTCTACTAGAGGCAAAGTCCAGGACAAAGTTGATACCAGTATCTGCCCAAAATGTTCCTTAAAATTATTGGGGGAAGAAAACGTAAAAGAAGAATTTATATAAATATGATTGTAGAACAGGGACTAGAACTACCGTCAAACGGATTCTTACCTGTGGTTCTATCCTATACTACTATCCTGTACCAATGGCCTTTGAGCATTAAAAAATCTAATTTAAACACCATCTCTGAGATTTTTTGATAACTCCTTCTTTATCAGGAGCCATTGGTGCAAGTTGGTGACCGATACAAGGTTCTGAGTAACATGATTAAAGAAAGAGGGAGATTTTGAAATTATTTGTGTTTAAAATATGCTTATTTTATTTTCAGAGTCTGCGCAGTATGCAACAGAGCGTTCAATGACCCGTCTTTTGTCCGCTACCCAAATGGAATAGTCACTCATGTCCACTGTGCCAAGAACAAGTATATATGTCCAGTCTCTGGCAAACTGTTCAGTGCTGGAAGAAGATGACAATTACTCAATGGCTAGATGGACTGGAAGTGGGCAAATGGTTTTCCTTTGCAGCAGTTTATTGATTGTATTTTTGTTGTTATGGGGGTGTCAACTGGAAGAAAAGTTGTTAATGGTTGCTCCAGCTTTGAAAATATGTTTGTACACGGCACATTACCGTCAGCTCAAATGTAAGAAAGTAAGATTTTTTATTTGGCTTTAATGTAACAGCAAAAGATTTTTCAAAAATGAATTGATCACTTGTTGGGATTAGCGGGCACGATGAATCTTCTCCCCCTGCCCTAATGCCACCCTTTCTTTTACCGGGTGTCGTTGTCCCATGTCTGTTATCACAGGACTGGTTTGAGAAAAGGTCGGATTCGAGCACAGCTCTCAGGAGCAAATTATGCAAGTTTATCTTAATGTGTTTCTGTATGTACGGAGCTACAACCATCATGTGGGGGTGGTCATGGTTTAAATACTGATCATACAAATGTAAAAAGTGGGGGGGTGGGGGGGGGGGGGGGGCAATGCTAATGTAGGTTTGGTTGTTGTTTATTTTGTGTTGGGGAAAGGGAAGGTGGGGGTCTTGGTTTAGACAAAATATGCTGTTAAATGACTTGATCTGTTGCTTTTTACAACTTGTCCAGACAAAATATTAGAAAATGCTAAGTGTATTGGTTGTTAATCCTGGGTTGGCTTTAGGTGCTCTCCCCTGGTTGGTTGTTTATCTTTGGCTGACGTCAGTTGCTGGGTTGGCTTTAGGTGCTCTCCTCTGGTTGGTTGTTTATCTTTGGCTGACATCAGTTGCTGGGTTGGCTTTAGGTGCTCTCCCCTGGTGAGGACCAAGTTTGTTTCAAATGCAGGGTGTTCCCAACCATTTATATACTTCAATACGCACCCTCTGCAAATTGTTTAAGTTTAACACCCCTTGTAAAAGTAGGGTAACAATGATTTTTAAAATTGGCAAAAAATTGATGTAGATTTAAAAAAAAAAAAATTTAAATGACACAGAGAGTTGTAGAACTTAGAAAAAAAATTGTTACATAATTCACAAATTTAAATGATAACAAGTTAATGAAGAAATTTTTTTTAAATTTTAGAAATTCATAACGATGACTTAAAATTCAATGGCTTATATGTTCAAACAATCATTTTGTAGCATCCCCTGAAATGCCCCCTCGCACCTTCTGGTGGTGCCCCCTCGCACCATCTGGTTCTGCCCCCTAGCACCGGCTGATGGTGTAGACATCTCAGGTGGAAGCCCTGTTCTAATAAAATTTTGTCACAAACCATCAGGTGTGATAATGAAAGTATTATTACATAGGCTGAGATTATAACATCGTCCACCATTTTGAAAAGTAGTGGAACAAAAATAATCAGGATTTGGACATTTGCTCAACATCTGTCATACTTTGTCTGTCATACATAAGATTTGTCTGTCATAGATAAGATTTTCATTAAACTCACTCACTTTTTTTTGTTTTTGTAGGTTTTATTGTAAGTTGCGTCCCTTCCTGACATCTATAAACACATAAATTTTACACAGGACCTTAGCATTAAATTCTTATGTTATGTCTTGTAGAAAAACTCCCCCAATGCATTGTTGTTTACTCGCCTATCTTAAAAATGAACTCCCTTGATAACACAGGTTACTTTCTATTTCCTTACTTAAATATTTGTTTAACTGGTACCACTATAACTGTACGATACTTATACTGATATCAAACAAAAAATCCAATAATTGAACTTGAACCATTAAATTGTGATTGACATTTAAAAAATTTAATCTGATTTTTAAGACTAATGTTGCCAAATACTATTGTGGTTATTGCTGTAGTGGCTGATATCTTCTTTTATTTTAATCTTGCGGAAGTTGGATGTTTGGTCAACAGGGCAGATAAATGGGAAACAGGGAAAAATCTTTACCTGAAAACTAATTGTGTTTTTTTTTTTTTTCATTCCTTGTTAAATTTTGTTATGTCTATATATGGACATTGTGATAGAGTGATATGTTCGACTTCTGGGAATTGTGCAATGATCACTTCCCATTTTTCATATGTATATTATTTAATGGTTACAATTACATTTACATGATGAATTAAAATATGGCTGCAGTAATGGATGGAATATGGTCTGAAAGGACTATGGTCTGAATGGACTTTGGTATGAACGGACTATGGCAGGCCTGCACAACTCAAAATGTAAGGCGGGCTGTAATTCTTTATGAAAAAATTATGCGGACTGCAATAAAATAGGATAAGGGGAAAAGCTATTATTAATTAAGAAAATAAGTGGCCCTTGGGCCGTATGTTGTGCAGGCCTGGACTATAGTATGAATGGACTATGGTCTGAATGGACTATGGTACAAATGGACTATGGTATGAACGGACAATAGTATAAATGGACTATGTCAGTGTTTCCCAAATTTATTTATTTTTTCATCAGCAGGTTAATTTTGTATACTTAGCTTCGTGACCCACTAACACTTTATCACCTACACTAACCTAGAGGTAACATAACAGATATGAATTTACACATAGTTTTCATATGTTATAATACAGCATTTGTTCATACAAACATGTAAAGAAATCAAACTTATCAAAATTTATAAATGAGTGTATCGCGATTATCTAACATACTCAACCGTTTTTGTTGGTTGTTTTTCAACGACCCAGTAATTTTAATTTGGGAAACCCTCGACTTTGGTATGACTGGATGTATGACTGGATATGTTATGGAAAAAACATTTTTAATATGCAATAGATGAACATGATTTTCATATGGTGGTCATTATTGCTATGGTATGGATAGACATGTGTGTCATAAGGCAGTCAATATTGCTATGGTATGGATGGACATGTGTGTCATAAGGCAGTCAATATTGCTATGGTATGGATAGACATGAGTGTCATAAGGCAGTCAATATTGCTATGGTATGGATGGACATGTGTGTCATAAGACAGTCAATATTGCTATGGTATGGATGGACATATGTGTCATGACAGTCAATATTAATATGGTATGGATGGACATGTGTCATGACAGTCAATATTACTGTGGTATGGATGGACATACGTGTCATGACAGTCAATATTACTATGGTATGGATGGACATATGTGTCATGACAGTCAATATTACTATGGTATGGACGGACATATGTGTCATGACAGTCAATATTACTGTGGTATGGATGGACATATGTGTCATGACAGTCAATATTACTATGGTATGGATGGACATATGTGTCATGATAGTCAATATTACTGTGGTATGGATGGACATACGTGTCATGACAGTCAATATTGCTGTGGTATGAATAACATGAAGTTAATGTATTTTTAAACATTTGTGTAAAGCGAGGTTCATTTGCAAACACATGGGCAACTTTTAAAGCTTTTTTTGTGTTTAATAATATGATGTGGCTAATGCTAGTTATCGTGATGTTGATATTTGTTCATGAAGCTGTAATGTTTGTCAGCATCAAACACCGCAGGCCAACACAGGTTGTTGAACTGTCAACTAATAAATCTATGACATTTACAATTTTTTAGGGAATCATAATTCTTTTTGGTTTTCATTGTCTGCGGGGAAGAAGTTAACGTATTAGAAAAAATGTTATAGAAGAAAAAGTAATAATTAGACAATTTAGATTTTAATAATGCAAACATGCTCTTATCCAAACAATATAAAAAATTTCTTATCAGCAGGTGACAAGACTAATATAACACCTTTAAAACAGACAGACAACACTTAACACAACGGACGTAACAACACTATAAAGAAGAATGGACTTAACACCCCATGTAATAATATTATTTTAATTATGAACAAAAACCCCTTTAGCAAAGCAGATGTTAGCAAAACATGAAAGACGGAACAACTATATCACTGCATTACTTTCTAGTACCATTGATCTAGGTGACGTTTTTTTAAATTTCATGTCAAATATGCTAGTCATTTTATAAATATTTTCTGATGTCATTGTCAAATAATGATATACAGTTTTGTCAGTCATTTCATAAATGTTATGACTTCTGCCAATGTCAGTTGTCAAAGAACAGTCAAACATAAAGTTCCAGTTGCATTGAATGAAAACTACAAAGAAAATCTGAAAAAATCTAAAAAGTTGATTCAGGTAACAGCACAGCATTGCCAGATGTGAAATGAAACAATGTTAAATAATTCTTTTCAAAGCAAAGAGTCGTGAATTATGTTGAAAATGCAATTCTTAACTTCCTATACCGGTAGGCAGCTCTGAATCAAAAAATTAAAAGTTTAGAATATGAAGTGAAATGTAGGTACAAATTGAGGTAAAATGTTAAAACAAACATAAGAAAATTTCAAATTTCTTTTAGGTATCATACAAAAATATTATTATCCAGTAATATGATCTCAAAGACTTATGAACATTGTCAGAGATGAATGAAATCACTTCTTGACCTGCCAGGAATGTTTAGAATAAAATCTCTTGAAAGAAAAAACATTACTTTCAAGTGTAGTTGATTTCACTTTAAGTTATACTTTTTATACTTGCCTTTTTTTTTTTTTTTTTTTGGGTCCTCACAGTGGGTGGAAATATAGTTGAGAAAGTTTATGAAATTCAAAAAAATTTTTTTTATTTGTTCAAATTTTTTTTTTTTTTTTTTTTTTTTTTTTTTTTTTTGGGTCCTCACAGTGGGTGGAAATATAGTTGAGAAAGTTTATGAAAGTCAACAAAATTTTTTTTATTTGTTCAAAATAAATCAAAAAGCAGCGAATAACATAAACACAAAAATGCACAAAACAATCATAAATAATATTACATCGATCGTTCCTGAAACCCACTTTAGACAAGCAAGCAGTATTGCACTAATGGGAGTAATTTCCCCTGAGCTGTGAGCCCTAAGCGAATCTTATGTGGGTTCACTGATAATCAATGTCTGAATTTTTTTTTTGCTAAGCCAATGCATTTATCAGCATAGAAAATTGTGAACAAAAACAAATTAACTTTGCTGATGAAATGATGTGTTCTAGTAAACTTTGCCATTCTGTTGATTTTTGTGATAAAAAGTTATTTCAGTAGCATTATAAAATATAAAGGAATTGCTGTTTTATATAAATGGATTTAAAATTATGTCACATTTTTAAATTACGCATCTATTCAAGTTTAATTTTTACATACACCGGACGGATATGTGAAACGGGAAAAAAAAAAAAATGCAGTTAATATCACACATGTAGCTTAATTATCACAAAAATGTATTATAAAACAGAGTGAATGTGAAATGTCTGTAAAAATTATTCATTTACTTACATCCAAAATCAATTTTCTAAATTAAGTAATGAATTTTATCTAAATATTAGCACACATGAAGTATGTACATTTTTTTTTTCCCCCCAATAATTTTATTTCCAAAATGTGAAGGGGGATAATATCACCTGCTTGAAGTTTGCACCTGTCTCTGTAAAACATCTTTATTGAAAAAGATGTCAAAGTGCAGGTTTTCTTTCT